TCTTATACTTAACTCGTACATCTGCACTTTATTTATGATGAGAGAATTTTTACAGAGCATAATTCAGTCAGTGAGTGCACACTGAACAACAAAACTCCGGTCTTTCAGCGATGACTCATCTGAACACCTCTGATTGGCCATTGCATTTATAAACTCAACTGAATCGTGTGTGATTAGTTTGGTTATAACGCACAACACTGTAAAAGCATGTAAAAAGAAATCTGATGGTACAAATTAGCCCTAATATTTAATTAGATAATAATACTAGCCTGATAATAATAATAGTCGGTACCGCTGCTCCCTATACGCAGAGTACACATTTTCTATATTAATATTAACACGTACATATACGTAAATATAAACATGAACATATAATTATAAAAAATGCGTTTGACTGTGAACGCAGTAGACCGGCGAAGCACACGTGACGTGCCATCCCCGCATCCGCGCCTGCCTCATGTTTGTGGCTGACTGCAAATGATCATAACTGATGGACAACTATGCCCGGGAAAAGACATCAGTAGTCCGGCGCTGAGATAAGAATAATAATAATAGTAAAAAAAAGCCCAATATGAAGCCCATGCATCACTTTTAGGCACGTTCATAATCCTGTGAATCTTTTTTGGATGTTGACGTTAATAACGTGTTTTAATGTCGGTAAAAATATCACCGCCGCATCTGTCTTAATATTCTCTCAGAGTTTTCATGTTCCCTAACGAAAATGTACCATAATTTTACTATGAATAAAAAAAAAACATGGCTCTTGTAGCGGTGGTAACCACAAATTAACCACGGTTTTGATACTTCAAATCGCTTCAAATAATATTTTACGACGTATTCAAATAATGTCTTTGTGGTATTACAAACAGACCTAAGCGAACAACAACCTTTAAAATGACATAAAATGCATTATATAAAAACAATGAGGCAATAATGATTGGTTAATTTAATAATAATTGTATGGTTTCATTGAATAACACTGTTAAAATACATAATGTAATAGGCTACAAAATAAACAATTTATGTACATTACATATTGTTACAAATGCCTGCAAAGGGCGCCAACGGCCTGGTAATTACTGTTGTAACACTTACAGGATGATCAAATCCTTGTTAAATATTGACCAAACATTTAATACAAATGTCCACTTAATCTTTAATGTTTGGCCACCTTTTTGCGATAGAAATGCTAGCCTCTATTTCTTCAACAAAAACATGTGGACATCCCAACCTTTACAAAAACTAGGCTAATCCTTGGGTTTTATCCAAGTAAAACTGCTTAATTTTCTTTTGTGCGATTTCTGAATGCTTGACTATAAAATCAATCAGACAACCGTATTAAAATCATAACGACTGTCTACCTTGTAATTTGTAAATAATACAATTTACTTATTTACTTTTATATTTTATTAAGGTTCTGTTTTGACCTCTATAGTAGGTTTTTTTTTTTTAACGTCCATAATATTTTGGGGAGGGGGCACAACAATACAATTCTGCTTAGGGCACCCATTTGGCCAGCAGCGGCCTTGATAATAGTCTTGATATCGTCAAAGGCATCAGCCACAGGTGATATCTCTGACTATTGGTGATACACTACTCTACTCTCATCTATCAGCACGACCCTATTTCATATCAATGTTAAAAACGGTTGTGAGGACACATTTTTTTGTAAAAGCCATGATACTTTTTTGCAGGATTCTTTGATGAACAAAGTTCAAAAGAGCAGAATTTTTTTTAATAGAAATCTTTTGTAACATTATAGAAGTCACCTTTGATCAACTAAATGCATCCTTTGTAAAATAAATATAAAAATTTAATGATTTATTTCTTTTAAAAATAAATCTTAACAGTAAACAAATATAGTGTATCTATTATAATATAGCAAAATTTCTTTTAAATACATCCTTAGGGGCCATTCACACAGAAAGCAGTTTTTCCATTTCACTGCACCAAAAACACATTATACTATGCAGTTTTAGTAGTACACTGAATGTGTTGTTTCTTATCTAGTGTGGTTCCTGTGGAGCTAATCCCATAACCGATTCTTAACACATACTGGAAAATTAAAGTTGACATTAAACATATAAATCAATCAGCCTGTGCTAATAATTATAGGTTACTTGATTACTCGTATCACGGTTTTTCATGTTTGATTTGAAACTTGATTAAAAAACGTACATTGAAATGTACATTCTCATCCAAAAATTCACATTTCTCCCAAATAACAATGTAGGAATATCACGCTTGTAAAATAAAAGCTCAATACTACTTTGTTGAAAATAAAAAATGTAATTGTTTTGTGAATTGCAGTGCATAACACTACTACCTGTAAAATTCTTGAAACCTTTCTACTCAACAGTACTTAAAAAATTAATTGTTTTTGAATGAAGTCTCTTATACTCACCAAGTCTTCATTTAATCAAAAATATATATATCAAATATAGTAATACTGAGAAATATTGCTGCAGTTTAAATTTCTATTCGAATACATTTTAAAATGTAACTTATTCCTGTGACGCAAAGCTGAATTTTCAGCATCATTACGCCAGTCTTCAGTGTCACATGATCCTTCAGAAATCATTCTATGCTTATTTGGTGCTCAAGAAACATTTCTTATTATCATCATTATCATTTTTTTCAGTATTCTTTGATGAATAAAGATATCAAAATAAGAGCTTTTATTTGAAATGGTAATCATTTATAGTAACTTTATACATGTCTTTACTGTCACTTTAAAAAAAAATAAATTTAATGCATACTTGCTGAATAAAAGTATAAATTGCTTTAACCTCCTGAGACCCTGTGACCTCATACGAGGACATTATATTTTAGTGTATTTCTCTGAGACTATACATGCCACAGTTTTAACAGAGCACATTCAGGGCTTTTCAGAGATACTAAATGTTTGGATGTTTCACCATGATCACTCCCGCTCCTTGGTCTTCAGATATGTCTGATATTAATTTAGTGACACACTTATGGAAATATGATAATATTTTGTAATTATCATTTAAATCGGTCTAATTTTAAAACTGTCTGTCATAAATCAACATCTCCGGAAAATGTTATGGGGTTTCAAATCACAATATGACTTTCTGTTACGAAACAGGATGTTGATTTCATACATGTCCTCATATGAGGACACCGGGACTAAAAGCATGTTTATTAGCATTTTGGGAGAAAAATGAATAGGGAAAGAAATTGTTTCAATATTCTATGAAATATTATATATTATTATGAAAATCTTGTCAAATATTACTCCCATTATTATACTTATTTTTTCATTACATGTTGTCCCAAAAACACATTAAAATGCAAACTAGATTTAGTTGATAGTTAGATACATTGTGTATATAATGAGAAAACCCGTTTATGGCCATTTTACACACATTTTGCAGAAAGAAAAATGGTATATCAAATCATTCTGTTATAACATAGTTGAGAATCATCTTTATACAAAGTTTGGTTAAAAAAAAAAACAATCCTGAAAACTAAAAATGTATTGGTGATTTTAAAAATCTGTTGTTTTTGCCTATGCATGTTCATTCATGTCTTTTTATTTAAAAGAAATTGAGTCCTAATGTCCTCTACCGAGGACATTAGCATAACTTATGAAATCGTTACAACACAGTAGGGCTATTGCAGACAGAAACAATACTGTACTACATCCATGTTTCCTGTCGGCTCAATTTTTGAGTGGACTTTGCTGTTCCGATTCGCATGAACGGTATACGAGTGGAGCGACTGAGCGGAGGCACACGCATAGAGCGGGATAATACGCAGAGCGTCACACCACGTGAAAGTGAAACCTGAGCGGTGAACTCATTTCTAACTAAATCTTTAATTATTGGCGACATCAGAAATGGATATTATATAATAGATGCTTTTTTGAACATTTTAGCAATTTAAAAATATTATAAAAGGATTTTTTTACACTGCAACCCTGCTGTCGACCGACGGCACCCCGGTTGGGAAACACTGCTCTAAACAATGTAAAGACACGAAAAAAAACATTTTTTCCCTAAAAATATTTTCTCGGGTCTTAAGAGGTTAAAAATAAATCTCATTAATCGATCAATCAATCATTTATTTCTATAGCACATTTAAAAACAACACAAGTTGACCAAAGTGCTTTACAGACCCAAAATTACAAAACATATAAACACACACAAACCATAAAGCACAACAAAACACTAAACAAACCCCATGTAGCTAAGAACAGTTAAAAGCAGCAGAGAAGAGATGAGTCTTCAACATCGATTTAAAACACTCTATGGAGTCACAGGATTTAATATGTAGAAGGAGGTTATTCCAAAGACATCGCCCTTGGTTTTTAGCCGAGATTTTGGAACGTTTAAAAGGAAACAAGATGATCTTAGGGGTCTGGCAGCACGATGAAGCTGTAACAAACTAATATATACAGGGACAAGCCCATGTAAGCCTTTAAAAACCATTAAAAGGACCTTGTATTGCACCCTATACTCAACAGGGAGCCAGTGCTAAGAAGCCCGCATCGGAGAGCTACTGGAACATTTCTGTTGTTCCAGCTGCAGCTGTGAAAGCACATTCTTAGACATCCCCCAAATATAGAGAATTACAATAATCCAATCTGGACTAAATAAATGCACGGATCACAGTTTCCATATCTTTAAAAGACAGGAAGCCTTTCAATTTGGCAATACCCCTCAATTGACACCAAGCTTTCTCACCTGAGTGTAATTTCATTGATCCTAAACTTATAAATGATAGTGTACCATTATCTCTGTCTACGTCTTGTAAATTTATCTGCCTACCACCTAGAAAAACTTAGCAACACTCCTGCAACCATGTGGAACACCCTAGCAACCTTGTAGGTTTAAAACATCAAATGTATCTTAAAACAGCTCAAGTATTCAAACTACATAAGGCCTGAAAAAACCTTCAGAGAGAAATTGATCCTGATGAATTTTCTAGTCACTGAAATCTCTTGCTTAATAATTTTGGGTTTGTTTGTTGTCCAGGTCTGGGTAAAACCATATTGCCCCAGATGGAAGGTCTCGTGAAGTCGACTAGCCTTCTGTACTTTCGTGTCTTCAAAAACCAGACGGTTAGCTACTTCAGCTCAGTGATCAGTGTTTTCTGGAACACTCCTGTGATGGCACCTGCTCTTTTCTTCTACTCTGAGAACGATGCACTGTGCGATTACGAGAGCTTGGAGAAGATGGTGGAGTTCTGGAGGAGCCGCGACCTAATTGTGGAGAGCAAGAAGTGGAAGGAGTCTGTTCATGCAGGTCATCTGCGCATACACCCTCAGGATTATCTGTCCACACTGGAGAAGTTTGTGCAGTCTCTTGACATGGTGCCTCTGAAGGCCAAAATGTGAATTCTGAAGGCTGTCACTCGTCTCATTAAACATCCAAGTTACCTGAAATGCCTGGTTTTAATGTCTCGTAGACATTCTCATACTCTTTGTTCAAGTGGGACTTTGTTAAATTGCTGTCTTGCATTCTCAAACTTCTTCAGCCTTTTTATATTTATGTGACTACATGAAATCCTTTTCAGCCAAAAATTCATACCTGGTCCAGAAGAAGAAGAAGCTGAGCTCTTTTTGAAGAACGTAGCACTGGGATGTTGGGGTTGTGTAATACTACATGCAGTCTGCTGATGTGCGACCAGTTAGGTTTATTTGCACTACAATTTGAAGTTCCTGTACTTTGTCCAACATCTGTTCGGACCTCAAAATGACGGTCTATCTTGAAATGCAAATCTGTTTATCTTTTTTTTTTTGGGATAAACGGTAAACACTTGAATAACACTTAACAGGTTTATTAGACCTTTTGTTAATAGTGAATCATAGTTTATATTACAACTTAATGTTTAACATCTATAGTATGTTCGTTTGAATACATGACCTTTGATACCGGCTACTCCAAAAGGAAACCTGACTAATTATTTTTAAATCTACAGAAATGACTTGTATAAATTTGTCCATGATAAACTATGAATTAAACAAATATAATACACGGTTTGACACAATTCTGGTAAACCTATAAAATCTTGTTTTTCTAGCAATGACAGATGGTTAAAGGAAAGGTGGTATGTTCAGGTACCTATGCAGACAATATGGTAAATACAAGTAAAGTGGGACACTTAGGTTTTTGTATTACATATTTCTATATTTTTATTCTTTATAGTGTAATGAAAACCTTTAGCTTATGCCAACTTGAATATTTTAAAACGTTTATGGCAAATTATCAGTGTGCTGCTTTACAATGCATCAATGCAATAATTAAGGTTTTTACATTTTTGTTGCTTCATCTTGCAAAAGTCAAATTAATCATTCTTATTAATGATGTTGCTTTTTTGTCTGTTTAGACTAGAACTCTAGCAAAATGGTTGTGCAAGACGGAACTGAAGTCAGAACTTAGCAGAATGTTGCTTAAAATGAATGACTTGAGTTGATTTCTTCTACAGGGCGCTTGTCGACTCGGAAAACATTTGTACACGTAAAGCTATATTCGTGTAAATGCGGTATTATCCAAATAATATAAAAACTATATTATATTGCACAATGATTATTACTAGTAAAGCAAAGTTAAATATAATTCAATCTCATTTAATGATTAAAAGATTATCATCGAATAAACATAATGACTGTGATTGGGCCCTGTCCACCAGCGTTGAGAAACAAGTTCTTACAAGTTAATTCAGCAACTGTCATGAGAGTAATTTTCACCTGAATGATTATATTGAGAAACTTTATAGACATTTAAATGAAGACCGAGAGAGAGAAAGGGGAAAAAAACTGAATAGTTAAAATATAAAAATGATCATTTAGATCCATTTTACCTGGGCCACTCAGCCCCGCCCGCTTCATTACATTTTTTGGATGTGATGTGAATTCTAAGAATGTTAGATTAGCAAGTTTCCAAGCCCACTTTTTCTAACTAACCTATACTAACAACTCCCATAACTAACAAACATAACCTCATGACCATTTCTCCTAATTCACACTGCCCCAACAGACTTCAAGTCAGGGAGAGTTAACTAGGGGGGAAAATGGATGATCTTGTAACAACAATCAAAATTATACTGTTATTAATGTCTTTGCGTGTCATTCTTCACCTGAAAAGATGGCGAATAAAACGAAAGAGGCTGTGGGTGAAGCCGTGGTTGCTGCGATGGGGAAGACAGGGCGCCTACTTGAATTTATGCAGAGAACTGCAGTCGGAAGATTTACAAAGCTTTCAAAATTTTGCTCGGGTGGTCCCTAATCAGTTTCAGCAGTTACTTCAGATGGTGACACCAATAATTTAAAGGCAAAATACAAATTTCAGAGATGCCATTTCACCTGGTGAACGCCTAATGATAACTCTTCGCTTCTTGGCAACAGGTAATAACCTAATGTTTCCTCTTCGATCCGTGTAAATAATTAGCAGTGTTGATAATTATACAAGAAATAGGTTGAAATGTTCAATACTGTAATTCTAAAAGCTTTTTATTTATTGTTTTATTCACAGGTGAATAATTTCGTAGCCTGCATTACGCTTTTCACATCGGATGCTCAACTTTAAGCGAACTTCTACCCGAGACATGTAGAGCCATCTATCAGGTTCTCAAAGAAAGACATCTTAAGGTATGCATTCTGATCCTCACCACTTTGGTTTAATCAATATGTCATTATAATTACCTTATTGCAAAGAATAAGTGGGTATCCGCTCTGTTCTTCTCGTTTGAAGTATGCACATCGTTATGGGAACTGACTGGTCAGGTGTTGCTGAACAAAGCCAGTGCTGTTAGCGCTACATAGTTCAATAATAGGGTCTGCGCTACCCTTACGAAAATCAACCAGGGTATTACTGCAAATAAAAATACAAATGTCAATCGATACGCCAAAAATAAACAAACAAATAAATAAAATGTTTTTACTATAATTAAACCATGGTTAATTTATTTTCATCAGGGTAAACTATGCACAGAGATTAATGCACAGTAGTATATAAATGCATGTTATTTACAACATCTCAATCTGCTTATAAAGACTGCTCAAGCTGTTATTAAATGGTACATTCCTTTCTGCTATTAAGATTATTTTTCATTTTCTATATAGGTTTGGGAACAAAACAAAATACTCTTTTTGGAAAGAGACACGAATAAAAACTATACTTTAAAAAAGTGATTCTTTATTAGTGTCAAATACTTATTTTAAATTCTTACTTTAAAATATCTGGGAGACCATAAAACTAGGTAAACTTAGAAATACATGCAGGTATAACTATAGGCCTATACAAACTAACAAACATACAGTACAAACACACAGAGTGAGACCTGAACATTTACCAGCCCTAATAATAATAGTAATAATAATAATAAATTGGGACTTTAGATGCAATTAAGTGATTTAGGGACTACAACGGATGTAAATATGGAGCTGCATACTGGCTTGAAGAAGGGCGAGGGGACAATAGTATTTGATGTATTTGAAATTGTATGTATTGTAGGTGCTGTGGGTCTTCTATTGATCTTAACTGATGCTCTATATACTGACAAAAGGCATATATGCTGTCATTCTTGGGTGGCTGCAGATTCTGGTGCTTCTCTGTCAGGACTTTTAGGGTTTCATTTATTGTCCCAAGAATGGCAAGGTCTTGGGCTTGTGCAGGATCAGATGAATATCTTCTTTTACTACGCCTCTTTTTCCCTTTAGGCTGGACCTGTTCCTCCTCCTCTTCCATTTCTTGTTCTTCCTCTTCTTGCTTCTGCTCTGTATCATCACGTCTGTCATCACCTTCACCCTCCTCAAGTGAAGTAGTAGAGTCCTGTAAAATAGTGTTTAAAAATGATTAATTCATGATTTATTTACAAATGTATTATTCTCTTTTCCAGTGCCCTACAACAGCAGATGAGTGGAAAAAAGTATCAGAAGAATTCCAAACCACAGCAAAATTTCCCAATTGCTTAGGGGCTTTGGACCGGAAACACATACGGATTAGACCCCCCCCCCTCACTGCGGAGCACAGTTCTTCAATTATAAACACTTTAATTCGATTGTTATGATGGCTTTGGTTGACAGCAATTATAGATTTCTTTATGTTGATGTAGGGTGTAATGGTAGGGTGTCGGATGGTGGAGTATTCAGAGGGTCAACACTGCAAGAGTCTCTAGAGCAGAGTACTGCAAACATTCCCCAACCCACTCCATTGCCAGGGACAGACATGTCAATGCCATTTTTTTGTTGTGGCGGATGAAGCTTTTCCTCTGAAATCAACCTTAATGAAACCTTTAGCCAGGAGAGGGCTTTCCAGAGAACAGAGAGTCTTCAACTACCGGCTATCCCGTGCCCGCCGTATTGTTGAAAACACCTTTGGCGTCTTTGCAAACAGATTTAGGTTTTTTTTTAAGCACAATTGATCTTGATCCAAATGTTGTGGAGGTTATTGTTCTTGCATCATGTGCCCTGCACAATTATTTACGTGATGAATGTGGCAATGCATATCTGTGTGGACTAACTGATCAGGATGGGCAAGAAACCTGGAGGCAAGACCCTCCCCTGCAACAGGCAGCGCTGCCACGGTCCACAAATGCAAGTAGCGAGGCCAAGCAAAACAGGGAAAGGCTGATGGAGCACTTTAACTCAGAGGCAGGAGCTGTTCCTTGGCAATGGGATAGACTATTAAATCATTTCCACATCCATACCCAGATAATGTACATAACATGTAAACAAATATTAAACTGATGGTAACAGTAAAATATGAGAGCTACACATTTTATATGGTTAATTTAAATTAAACTAAATTTTTAAACGGAGGTTGATAGAAGTACTTTAATTCTGAGAGGTGAGCTGTCCATGGCAATGGGCTGAATTGCTGTAAATATTTCCCTGCACCCACACCCAAATCATTGTATTAAATAAACTCACATTTTGAACATCGAGGTTTGATGTTGAGGGTCGTTTTTTCATGTGTAGCTCTAAAAACGTAGGTCTCCTCAAAAACCATTCCTGCCTTGGAGTGAGATTTCCTCCACTACCAGAGGGAGGGGATTTCAAATATCTGCTGTACTGTGTCCTCATATTGTCCATTTTCTTCTTTACCTCAGCTTCTGTGAAACACAAATAATTGAAGATGATACAGTATTAGTGCACTTATGTATAGAAAGTGCAGGAACAAATCACAAAGTGTCATGCCATTTAGATGACTAACAACAAATAAAACTAAACTACAAATACACTGTGGTTTGAAGGATACTGAGCGGGGTGCACATGTGACACGGATTAAATAGTAAATAACTATATCTAAATAACTGGCTCATCTTGTCTACATAAACAGAATATTAAAGAAGACAGAGGAATTCACACTGAGCAAGCTACAAAACCTCAAACAGTTAACGTTACTTTGTAGCATTTTAGTGCAAGCCCAAACAACTCTGTAACCATTTGCTTGCTAAGACACTCCATTGAAACGCAATTGCGACCCACAAGTGTGTAACCATGGTGATATTGTAAGGCAGTTTTATTATAATAATAATATATTGTCAAATAAATTTCCATTGTATTTAATTATTGAGGTGAATCATAATATACTCCGACAGACTAGTCTGTCATCTTATAGGGTGTGAATTGGCCCTATGATAAGATGCATGTTAAACAGCTTTCTTTGTGCTTGTGAGTGTTGCTTCGGCCAGAGGCATGAGTGAGAGTTAGGCATCTGAAGGGATGAGAAAGGGCTTTCAGGCCTGATCTTGAGAGCAGGAGGCTGAGGCAGGGTTCAGAGATGATCCGCTCCTCGTAGTCCCACCAGCAACATGGATGATTTCAGCAGGACGCACACCAGCTCAGACAACACAGGTGAGAAAAACTGATTTAATATTTTGGCTTGTTTTATTTCCACGTTTTTTGTATATATTTAAGAAAAATATATAATTTTAAGATTGTTTAATTGTTTATTGATCAAGGCAGAACTCTTGAGCAGGCATTGCAGGACTCTAGAGGGAGATTATGAAGCAGAATTA